GCGTAATGCCAATGCCGGCTGTAGTGTAACTTTCGAGCCTTATAACTCGAAAAGTACTTAATGAAAAAATATTTTATTATAGTGTTTTGGAAAGCTCTCGAGGTAAGCTACAAGAATATGTAATGAAAAATAGTGGGTTTAATTTAAGAAATTGAAGGTGATCTTTATGTGACCTTTAAGCGACTATCCAAGGTCAAATCAATGGTACCATTTTATGACCCCCTTGAAACCATACAACTTTTGTCTGAAACATTTTCTTGTAAAATGCAAGGGAACGGAAATATTTGGATCCGTCGATTAAAATGGGTCACCCTGTATATTGTAATTTTCAATTAATTGAATTTACGTACGCTTTGTTAAATTTCCTTTTTTAATCGATGTGTCGTTAATATCACGTATTACAGTTTTACGTTTTCTCTGCTATAGATTTGTAAGATAACAAGAACACAGGACCATCGTGAACGGATAGAATCATAAACGTATTTGTGCGTGACGAGTTATTGTATATTTATTCAAATTGTGCATGTTCAATAAATGCCTACCGTTTTACTTTGTTAGGAGCATTTTATTTATTGTATCACGCGACTATCGTATTTTTCATGTATTGTTTTGTACGCTTATTTCGATGTGTATCTATAGTGATGCTATATATAATGCGTGCCTGTATATTATAATCAATACGATGTACTAATTAGATTGTGTACAAAGTTATACTTTAATAAATTGAATATCTTGAGAAAAAGAAAGACAGGATATATGTTTTTTCTAGGTAATCGGTATTTACAAAATTCCCGATGACGACGATTACTTCATGGGAATTAGAGGCAATCAACGAGGAAAGGTGCCCAAAGTATACGTGGAAACGCTTATTATACATCGTTAATGCACTTAGAAGCTACCGTCTATTGTCAATTGTATTTAGAGTCAATTTAGCGCACTGCTCTCGTTCAGCTTGAATTAGTCGAAATAATGGCTATCTTATTTGGCTTGAAAAGTGATTCATTACTTCAGGACCAAGAGATTAATCCCAATTTAATTAAATAAATCACTAATCAATGACTAAAGCATGCAACACGATGGAATTATTCTTATATTTAACATTGTGCCTCTTGACTGTTATGGTTTTTCTTTTCACAATTGACCAAGTGGTCAAATAAAAACATTTACCGTTTAAAGATTTATTATTAATATATAGTACATAAAATGTATATATAAAAGTTTACTTCTTTTTCGACACACCAACCGTGCGTCCACGACGACCTGTAGTCTTGGTGTGCTGACCACGTACACGGAGACCCCAGTAGTGACGCAGCCCTCTGTGAGCACGGATTTTCTTCATCCTTTCCAAGTCCTCACGTAGCTTAGAATCTAAGTTGGCACTCGTGAGCTGCAAAATATCCTGTATATATATATATATATATAATTTGATTTCTGTTGCACTCATATTTGTTACTTGATATAATAAGAAATACTATAAAGCAATAAAAATGTACAGCAGTGCAGTTGCTATTGCACTATCTACCAGCTGAAGGTACAATGAACATTTGTACGATCAGTCATGAATTTGTGCAATGGAATTTTTATGATGTATTACAATAATAGATAAATGATTGTTATCTAAGTCATCGCTATATCTTTATGTCTATATATTTTTATGCTCCAGTCGAATTTCAATAAATTATTTGGATCTACAATTCCATGTTTGAGAAACGTTTCTCTAAATGTATGATTTTACATTTTTCAACAATAAAGCATGTGTTTCAGAATTTGGTCCTTTTCTTTCGTGAAAGAAACAGATGCATACCTGTGAGTATTTTCCATCGACGATGTCCTTCTGTCTGTTGAGGAACCAATCGGGAATTTTGTATTGCCTGGGATTGGCCATAATGGTGACAATTTTTTCAACCTAAAACGATTTTTGATAAATCAGTATTGTTAAGTTGTTTCACAAATATAAAACGGCTAAACTTACTTCCTCTTCCGAGCATTCTCCAGCTCGCTTGTCCAAGTCAATGTCCGCCTTCTTCAAGACAATGTTGGCATAACGCCGACCAACACCTTTGATCGCGGTCATAGCAAACATAACTTTCCTGTTACCGTCAATGTTCGTGCCCATGACACGAAGAATGTGCTGGAACTTCTCAGGAATCACGAGCGACTGGAAAACAGGAACATGCCATCATGATTATGTACACACGCGAAACTAACCTCAATCACGAAGCGCGACAAATCGCAAACAGTTGGACGAATTTTTGTCTGGCGCGTAACTGCTGAATGAAAATCGTCGAATCTTTGCGACCATCGCGAAATATCATGAAGCACGCTCGACCAACAAAAAACCTGAAGTCGCGAAATATGCTCGCGATGTATTTAACCTCCAAACGTCGGCTGATCATTTTTTCCATGATATTCGTTAAAATATTTCGGAGACAAATTCGAAAACAATGAATTTATCATTCTCTTTGAGTGTTTGATGCATATCACACAATTTCTCCGAAAAAAATGGATTTCAGAAGGAATTCGCATAACACTCACCATCTTAACGTATAACTTGACACTAGGGCTGCGGTTTCTTGACGCTACAAACGCTTCGAAGTATTCTTTGATTAGTCAATTCGTAAAATTCTTTGTTCTGATTGGTCGCTCAAACGCTTCGAAACGTTTGTAGCGTCAAGTGGACCGCAGCCTACATAGACCTAAAGCAATATCCTGATTGACTCATCGACTTAAGTTCACGTCTTATGCGGGGTCTACAATAGAAGTCGTAGCAGTCGTAGGGTCTTAAGTCGTATGGCTTTCTACAATAAGCCATTAGTCATAAATCAGAAGACAGAAGCTAAAAATTGACGACTGTGATTGGTCAATTTCCAGATTCTAACTTCTTATTTATGACTAATGGCTTATTGTAGAATGCCTGTTAGAAAATTGACCAATCACAGTCGAATATGAAAAGAATAATCGACCATGATTGGTCAATTTTCTATGACTTAAGACTCTACGACCGCTATGACTTCTATTGTAGACCCCGCATAAGTTTCCACCGAGGGTTAAGCGGGGAGCACAGACTCTTGCATAACGCATAACACGTAATGCATAAGAAAATGTACCAATCAAAGCCCTCCGTTTCCTTCCTTTCCATGAAATAAAGAATTCTGATTGATTGAATTTCTTATGCATTACATGTTATGCGTTATGCAAAAGTCTGTGCTTCCCGCTTTAGAGTTGGGTCAGAGTACAAGAACTGATCAACCACAATCGAACATTTCCCTGTCATTCGACTGTAACAGGGGAATACTCGACTGTGATTGGTCAGTTCTTATACTTTGACCTAATTCTAATGCGTGGTCTACAATGGGCAGTAGCAGTAGTGAATTAAGGAGTAGGTGCAGAAATCGACTAATCATAGTTGATTATCTTTCTCACATTCGATT